ATTGGGAAATCATTCGTTCTTCCAATCACTAGCAATAATACATTACTTAGTTGACAGGTTTGTCATGGTACGAATATGAGTAATATTTATAATAAGCTTACTTTAAGCTTACATCGAAATAAGATTTTGTTAAGTTATTGAAAAGGTTATGGTAGGCCCCCTGGAATATTAAGCTTCTTTTAGACGGTGTAAGAGCTAATAGATGTTGAATGAATGAATGAATGAATGAATGAATGAATGAATGAATGAATATACTTTATTGCACAGATAAACACACGAACATAAACACATGTACAGATAAACATACGCACAACAGGCGGCCTTATTGCTAAGTAGCAATTTCTTCCAGGCAACCTTAGGATAGGAAAAGTACTTAGAAGGGGGTGCAACCAAGATACTACCACAGCGATAGATTGAGACACAATATTAATAAATACTAATAATAAATATAGTATATAATATAAATAAATACTAATAATAAACACAATAATATATCATGTTGTTGATCCTTACTTGTTGTTATTAATGTAGATAATTGTTGATACCGACTTAATGCCGGATCGACTGCATGCGTAAAGTCGTTATCAACTTCATGCAGTCGTGGTCTCGGTAAACATGCAGTCAACCTGGTTGCAGCTCATAAGAGTGATAACGTTTTATTTTTTTTGTTTCAGGCTGGATAAATGTCAATTTTTGCACAATGGTGTATGCAGACATTAACGGTATTATCGATATGTACAGCATGTTCGATTTTACGGCTTTCAGAAATGTATAAAATTTTATAAATGAGGCCTTGGAAAAACCTTACGCTATTTGAAAGACAATTAAACAACTTATATACTAATAAAATATTTTTAGTTTGTAATAATGACTTACCTAGCCTCGTGTAGGGTATAAAACTATATAATAGGGTATTGTTTGTTACTATCATAGTATAATCATACTTCCATATTATTTAATATTAAAAGGCACCAATGTTCCTATGACGACGCGAACAATGCTATATCTAAAGCATTAGATTGGTTTGCAGTTAATGACCTGCTGCTTAATAAGAAAAATAGAAATTGTGTGAAATTTACGTTACCCAATGTTAGACAGATATAAACATTATAGTTAGAAAGGACAAATGGAACCTAGTAGATACTTTAACAGTTTAATGACACATGAACTTTTGCTTGAGGGTAATGCAGCCGATATTAAGATGGAGCATGTCAAAAAAGTTTTGACGTTGGCTCCACCCAAATTTGTGAAACAAATATATGCCTGAAGTTTGCGTGACATGCGACAGTAGATGTTGAATTTTGCGCATTAAAAGTACCAAATTCGGTTTAGCGGAATAACTCTATAACTGAAGGGATTAAAAAAAGTCCGTAGTGACAGTTGTCGATCACGCATAAATATAATTAATTATCTAATTTTTGTCCTAATAACCTGTAGCATTTCGAGGATAAATCGAAAAAGTGTGAAAATTAGAGGTCATTTCGTGATTTTTATCTATCGAGGAAACTTTATTGTTTTATGGTTCTGATTAATGTCTATGCTTGAATATATCGTGTAGTTACTCATACAATATTTTATTTTTAACTTTAAAGTGGATACACCCCTCTAAAATCCCTCTTAATAGAATCTTTATCCTGCAAAAAAAGCGGTTTGGGCAATTTATAATCTGGGCTCCAGAGTGTATTTGAAAGATAAGTTTAAAGAGATTAACATTCTTACATTAACACAGCACATTTATCAAAATGTTATATGTTATTATTGTTTTTTTATGCAAAATAATGACAGACAACATTAATACCTGGAATTAAAATAAACTAGCCGTTCTTGACAATCGTTTTCATAAAGTCTCAAATTCATTTAGGGTGCAATGTGTACGCTTCTATAATAAGATTCCGATCGATATTCAAAATTTGCCATTTACGAGGTTTAAAACTGTAGTGAAACAAAAACTTTATACTATAGGTTACTATACCGCTTCTGCGTACTTGGATGACAAAAATCCGTGGTAGTGACCCGTTTAGTTCTTGCAAGTATTCTCGATCTAAGATGTTTAAATTAAATGTGTGTATGTCCTAGCCGATTTCTGCTGCAGCGACTGCTATTGTTTAGAATTAGATCTACAGTTGTTTGCTCTTTCATGTGCGCTTAGATGGCTACAGTAGCTAATCTTATTGGTAAATGTTCGCAAACAGTGGCAACACGTAAGGACACCGTCGACATAGTAATAAAAGATGACTGCAGGTGTCATGTCCAGGTCTGACAGTCTCTGCTCCTGAAATTTTGTCACCTGAGTTTTCATATAGTGCCTCCACACAGAACGGCAACTCGACTGCATCTCCCACCTCGAGGGGTCAATGTTGCAACTTTTCATGTGTCTATTCAGAACATCCTTGTTTTGCAACATGTTAAATTAAATATTGTAATGATAAATGTATTCAAATGTATATTGTATGTTTCTTGCTCATTCTTCTCAGGGGAATCTGCCTTACGAATGAGCAGTAGATTTCAGTAGTAATTTGCTTATCTATGAAATTAAGATTATTTGTCTTTGAAAATCTACTATTTTGTCAATTCACCTTTTAAAGTAATAAAAAATAAAAAACAAGTCGAACATTACTTATTTGACAGTAATTGTTTCGGACGGATGTCGGACGGAGATCGAGAGGAGACACTAGTACTTATTATGTATGTAACAAGAATTTTGTAGTTTGTGATGGTAGAAAATAAACAATCTTTTCTTTCTTTCATTTATCAGCATTCGTCTCCGCACGACTGCACACGGCGGGCAACGTTATTTTCACCTCTCTGAGCTCATGCTTAGGTTTATTTTTCCTCGAAGCGAGCGCCTTGTAGTCATTGGTCAGATTTAGTAGGCTATTATAGCGTAGGTATTTTCGATTTTGTACGAGGATTATGTATCTGTTACGTAGTAAGTATTCAGTGATCTGTGACTAAACTTACCTTTGTTTAACAGCTTTACACGTTTTAACAATAATAACGCTAAATTCAAATTATGTTTACAACCTGTAGGTACAATTAAAATAATATCGTGGCAACTCTGTGCTCCCAACGAAGTGTACGCATTGACACGCCGATATTTTACTACGTTAGTGATAATATAAATTACTTACCAGCAGCAACGATGATGTACGGGTCAGTAATTAACTGTTTCAAGGAAGGTGGTTCCGACTCCTGACGCACCACACCGGGTTGAAGAATCATCAGCTGCAACACTGTGGATGAAAGACGGCTTACTGAAAACTTGGAATCCTTAAAAATCTTTGAAATTGTAATACATTTTTGCACTTTTAAAATGTATGACCAATTACTGGAATAACCAAGTAACTGACGTAATATTCGCATTGACGAATCTTAATATTCTTAGTAATACAGAACAATATTATGTTACATTTTAAAATTAATTAACGATTTCGAAGCAAAGGAATTTTTTCTGAGTGTTCGATGTTTGTATTAATAATTATAACAAAGTAGTGGAGTAATTTCACATAAAAATAATTTAGTATCAATTCAATAAAAAAATAAATACAGTGAATAGCGACATCTCTAGGTAGCTGTAAAGGTATCTAACTGGGTGACAAAATATCTCATTCTCATAGATCGCGCTACGGCTAAAAAGTCGTTGAAAAACCAAATATAAAGTTACGACGCAAGCACATAGAAAAATTCGTGAAGTCCGCTGGTTCGTTGCGTGGGTTATTTGGTATAGCATCTGCCACGGTATGCTAGAAGACGTCGGTTCGAATCCGACCGGATCGAAGGAATTTTTTCTGAGTGTTTGATCTTTGCATCAATAATTCAAATAAGTAATTTTTTCACGAATAATAAGTGTTATAACACTACAAGCGAACGGTTGCCAAAGTAATTATGACTAGAATAAAAAAAATTAAGGTATTTTTATTAATTTCTGATAAACTCGAGTTCTTAGGTTTTCGCGATTGTTTCACATAGGAAATGAAACTATTTTTCCGGATTTAAATCGCGTTGTCGTAAGTCGCGCAAACAAACCGACGTTGACTCAATCAACCGTGACCATGGGACCTGTAAAGGGCCCGAAACGTCGTTTTGTTTGAAAAAACAAATATACGCGATTAAAATCCGGAAAAATAATTTCATTTCCTTTCTGATAAACATTAAAAAAAAAGATATAATTGGTTCGCTTTAATTTGGTCATACAACGTACTTAAGTATATCCAATCACCAACGAGTAATATTATTTTTCTCAAACATGCTCGGAAATGTTTGCATTACTTTCAAAAAACGAACAAGGCAAGTTTGTCATTTATGAACCGTGTGAATTCTTCCCGGTCAAGGCCTGCAAAGTAAATATGAAAATACATCACTGTCCTTTTCTCTAAACTTTTAAATCTACCTACTAATAAAGAACTATGTAAATAGGCAAAAGAAAAACTCATACAGTGAACTGCCCAGTGTTCATAATTGCGAGAATTAACAATACCCTTATTTAAAAAAAAAACAGAAAACGGCGGTAACATTTAAAATAAAGTGTTTTGGTATTCTTTTGTTGTTTCGTCTTTATCGTATTATGTGGAGCTGCGTTTTTTAACGTTGTACTGAAGAACCTCAGTTTGTATGGAAAACACGCGTCGAACACAATGACAACGCTTCTCCGCGCGGAGGGGGCGCGGCAAACCGCAGGGTATGACACACGCGCTCCGCACTACCGCGCAGATTTTTAAGCTTAAGGACATGTTCAGTTTTCTACAATAGATCTCGACGTCGATAAATTCATAACTGCTATTGAAAATCGACCAAATTTATCTTCATATTTTCTTAAGAGGGGTATGTCAAAAAAGTTTTGACGTTGGCTCCGCCCAAATTTGTGAAACAAGTAAACAAGCCTGAAGTTCGCGTGACATGTGACAGGAGATGTTGAATTTTGCGCATTAAAAGTACCAAATTCGTTTTAGCGGAATAACTCTAAAACTAAAGGGATTTAAAAAAATCCGTAGTGACAGTTGTCGATCATGCATAAATATAATTAATTATCTAATTTTTGTCCTAATAACCTGTAGTATTTCGAGGATAAATCGAAAATATGTGAAAATTAGAGGTTATTTCGTGATTTTTATCTATCGAGGAAACTTTATTGTTTTATGTTTCTGATTAATGTCTATGCTTGAATATATCGTGTAGTTACTCATACAATATTTTATTTTTAACTTTAAAGTGGATATACCCCACTAAAATCAAATCGAAGATTAGAAATTTTTCGTCTGCTCCCTCTTAAATCAAAAAATGAAGTTGAAATTATCCATTTATCGATCTGGTTCGTAAGAAGGAATGTATCCAATATTTTCGGTGTCTTTTTATTTGAGTAAACAAAAACCAAGTGGACAGCATAACTGCAGCGTCCTGAATGAGTCTTGTCAAAGAAGGATCTCGGCTACATATATCTCATATATCACTACGGCGATCAACTGCGAAGCGAGTACTTAACTGTTGGCGCAGATCTGCGTCTCCGCCACCGCGTGCGTGATTCCGCGTGGTGCAGTGTGTTAACCGCCTTAGTCTTTTATTATATCCTCGCATTGTTTGAGAAAAATACTATACATGTCTCGGCGGGAACGGGGATCGCTTGACTCGTATTAAGGACAAGGCCTCACTGGCACTCGTCCTTGTAATTCATACTCGTCCAGCAATCCCTTACTTCCCGGCCTCTGCAATAATATACTATTTTTCCTTTAACACGTTCATTCGGTGGGTCCGTCGATGTATCCCAAAGTACCAGGTTACCATAAACTTACAGCCGTCTCCAAGTGCGAGCGCCGATAGCATGAGGAAAGGCGCAGTCTTGCCGACAAATTCGTACATGAGTCCACCGAATGGGGGCCCTATGAGCACTCCTAGAGCGAGCCCGCCGAGCGCTATACCCATTGCGTTGCCACGTTCCTGTAGATCATAAGACTTAAATTAATAAACTGTTCTCATTTTTTCTTTATAATCCTAGTAACGGGACGAAGAAATCGTGCGTGTAGTACCACCTCAATCGAAATTAAAATTTTTCACTTACTAATACGGTTCGTTTTGCTTTATTTCAAATTTTTTTTTTTTCATCAACAAAATTAAATCCATTTGAAAAATGTATATCGTATACACTCATAATATAATAACGTACACACTCAACACAGCCTCGCACTAGAACTAAAACTGAGGTACTCTCTTTCCAACAAAACAATCATCGAAATCAGTTCACAAATGACGCAGTAATCGCGTGACATCCACACACAAAAAAGTTCAGTCGAATTGAGAACCTCCTTTTTTTGAAGTCGATTAAAAATAAAATAATTTTCGCAATAAATATACTGGGACTATTATATAAATTTTTACCTTATCATCAGGATACCGTTCAGCTAGCATGCCCATGCCAGAAACCGATGAACAAGAAGATCCTATACCCTGCAGCGCACGCGCCACGAACAGTACACCATATGAACGGCCAAACGCAAAAACTGGAAATAAATTCATAACAAATTACACATTGTAAAGTAACATCGGACAGTTGTATCATATCATAGTATAATAAGACAAGAAGTGTGAGGGCGCGTGTCCACGCTAAGAATTCGTGTCGTTTCTACACACTGCCTCGGCGCCGGACAAGAAAAAAATCTTCTCTACTGTCGGGGGACACGACTCGCTCTGCCGCTATTGTATGGGGCGGGGTGAGGTACATTGTCAGTAAATAAACGTTTATACGCGAGGACGGGTGCTGCTTAGTATTCAACATAGAAAAACAACATATTACTTCCCACAGTCGGTAGTAAAACGACAGCTACCTGGAAGACTTGTAATGGACTGACACATCTTCCCCTACACATTTTCTCGTCTGCAACAAACACGACATGTTTTCGTGGCTAGATCCGACAAAATGTTTGTGTCGGGTACAAGACCATTTTCATCTTTTCTATAGCAGACACGTCGAATTTCTTAGCGTGTACGCGCGCCCTAACTCGCCCTGGTTTGTCTGTAGGCCTCTACAAATATCGCCACATTACCCGCTCACGCGATACATGCGGCCGTAGACGCATACCACACTTAGAGGTGCCGGTGATGATTTTATACCGATTTATCGGATATCGAAGTTATAACAGGTAAAAGAACTAATATTAATTGGTATTTCGGTAACTATTCTAGCAAACCATAAAGTTTTTAATGCCTGGGTCTGTCATTTAAAAAAAATAAACAACTTCAAAAATACGTCACGACAATCGTGTGTGTTATTGTTTGGGCTGGTGATTTCGGTGTTTATTTATTGAAAACATACCGTAAGTAGCGTTTTTTAAGTTTACCCTGAATATAAATGTTTATAGACTATACTTCAGGGAGTAATTTCATGGTAAACGTTAGAACCACTCAAATGGAATATTATCATATTCATCCAAGTACACCAAAAATTTCATTAGTGCTTTTTAAGTGCAGGATTTGCGGTGTATTAGTGCATTTTATTTGAGATGTTTTTGTTGGTAGTACGGAGGGTATTTATTTAGCAATGCAGAATAATAATTTTTATTTATAAAAACTTGTATTTAAACTGAATGCTTTTCTAATTTGCGAAACCAAATAGCCGCCATTTTGCGGTAGGAGGAGCGCATCGCGTGAGCGGGTAAGGTCTTGCGCTGATCGCATTTAGTGTTATGTATAATGAAGTCCAGACTCACTTATCGTAGACAGGAACATAAGGATGAAGCCAGTGAACATCGGGACACTGTAACCGATCCTGAAATCATTACAAAGTAGCTGTAGTACTGCGAAATTTCACAAAAGATATTTCACGCAATTTTGAAAAATATAAAGATAAAGATAAAGATAAATTTATTTCAATATAACTTAATCTAAATATAAGTAAAAAAAACAAAAACAAATGTAAGGGAAGCTAATATACAATTGGTAAAAAATAAAAATAAACCTTAATTATTATACTAATCATAAAGCTATACAATTAATTATTAGAAGCCTACCAGTATAGTTGCGTTGTCTAAACTAAGTACATTATTACCTGTATCTTAAGCACTTTTTTGTGCACAGATTCATTATATTAGTGCTTAAAAACAAAATAGCTATATTTAATTAAGAATAAAACAATTAGCTTTTACAATATAATTATGAAATAACTTCTAGTAAACCTTCTGTTTCATCATAGTTTTTATTTTTAAGGCGTGAAAATGCAATGTTGAATTTAATTTATTTTATATTAATATATATCGTGTACTATACTTGTTTTATTAAGTTCAGTTGATACATAAAAAAATTGGTATATGTGAAGTACCTATTGAATAAGGCTGATTTTTCTTTCGAGGTAAGTTTGTGTTTTTGTCCTATCGTGATTTTTTTTAGAAATCATGTTTTCACGCCGTGTGCTTTGACTGCTGTGCGGAATCTACAGTGCTGGTGAAATTACAGGCACATGGGACTTGTCAACTTATTACTTATAGTGACGGGCGCAGCGGCAGTACCCCTCAGATCTGGCACTGCAACTGTTATGGACAGGCGTGTAGCTTACCATCAGGAGCACGACTTGTTTGTCCCGTCCCTTGACATTATACAAAAAAGCTTCAAAGCATTTTTCTACGATTTTCGAGGTTCTGTGTGAGATAATTAACACGATCATAACGTACATAGCCAAAATGGCGGACTGAGCTAAGTGGAACTTCGCATGCTGTTGGCACACGTGCCATGCAAAGTAAGCACTTCTACTATACTTATTGTTCTGTGATTTACAATTACACCTTGGGTAATAATTAGCATAGGCGGTTGTTGTGCATTTGAGCGTTTTCTAATTCTCGACTGCGCAACGAATCTTGAAGTACCAGGGTCTCATAAAAGCTAAGAAGTTAATACTAACTTGTGGGTAAGAGGTCCAACGAAGGGGTTTGCAAGTAGTTGTACTAATGCTTTGCTAGCGAACATCACACCGACGGCCACCGTTTCCTGTATAAGTTCCTTGTGTCGTTCTTCACGTTCTGCAGTTAAGTTCACTGTGGAAAAATAATTAGAAATTCAAATTTGACTATTTTTGGGGTCAATCAACGTATTTTGTTGTATGTTGGGTAATTTTCCAAAAAATTTCATATAGTAAAAGTTTTTGCGGAAAAATTCCCGAAAAATTGGAAAAATATATTTTATGTTTCGAAATATCTGTTGAAGTTTTATTTAGCGTGAATTATAAAATAAATTTGTATAGCTAACAGCCATGTAGAGAAAAACGAGATTTGTAATGATTTCACGACAGCGAAAAGAAACCATTCTAATGGCTCCATCCATTGACTTACAAATAAATGGACGACGGGTCTAATACAAAAACCACGAAAAAAATGTCCCAAGTCAACCTATTTAAACGTAGTGACATGTTAAGGAATATGAAAAAGCTAAAACGTTGAATTTAAATTGTAATGTCATCGCAGTACTGTCTAATTCTGCTTGCTTCGCTGTCAGTCGAACAAACGAAGACTAAAGCGTGAATGACGCTCTGTATACGATTTTAACGCCCTATAAGTTCGGACACTTTTTAGCGCGGACCCGACGTCCATATAATTGTAAGTCAATAGCTCCATCGCATCGTTTTCGTTCATTAACTTCAACTTTTAATAGGTGACAACGTCAAATGTGGAAAATTAAAGGAAAAATATCTGGAAAAATGTGATTTTTCAAAACCGAAATTTTTCCATGACTCAACACAAAATGTATTCTTCCTGTCCTTATCCCACGCTAGGTGGGGTCGGCACATCATGTATTTTTCTTCCACTCTCCCCTACCAGTCGTCATTTCCATGCTCACACCTTTCTTATCCATGTCATCTTTCACACAATCCATCCATCTTTTCTTTGGCCTTCCTTTCTTCTAGTGATGTTAACGTCACATAGAGCGACGACGTGTCATTATTATTTAAATACAAAAACATCAATAACAACAGTATTACTGAAATAAACGATTCTTTCATTAATGTGAAACACTGACTTTTGAATGTTACTATTTTATGTCCCCAATTTTTTGTCCTACTAAATGTTGGGTTTTAATGCTTTTACTTACAGTGTGTAATGTTATCTGACTCTAGAACCAGAGTCCTGTTCAAGCAAGGGCAGTACCGAGCTGGGTCCGGTGTCGTGATGGTCAGTTCTTCCAGGGGCATAGAGAGCGGCGCGTCAGGATGGCGTATGTCATAGAGAAACTCCGGAATTATGGGTACTGGGGACAAAGGAATGATAATTTTGCATGTATACATTTAAATATTACAACTATGTCTTGTGTCTATTATCATAGTATAAAAAGCCGTTTGACCGACTGCCTCTCAGAGGCCTTAGGGCTTCGTCTTTCGAAGTTACGCGATAAGTGTCTACTGCTGAGTGTATCGCCGACAATGCAAGCGTTCAGAAAATTCATTTATTTGCATTACAATCCTTGTACAGTTTTTAATACATGCATGCATTTTAGTTCCGCACGACAATTAATTGCAATTAATTCATTTATAAACTTTATACAGTAATTAGTTCGAAATCAGGTTAAAACGGATTTTAAAATTCACGCCGCAAATTCACAGGATCGGCCGCGCTCGAATGTGAAAGTGCGTCCGTTTTTAAAATATTGACCGTCGACTTCTTTTGTTTGTTCACTTTATTCAGACAACTCAAACTCAAACTTTACCAGCGCCTCTATCATCTCGGGTGTATAATGGAAGATATAACAACAAATAATCTATTTTCACTTTGTATAACAACATTTATACTATGCGCCACTACACCGAATACGACAATGTTCATTCAATTTGCTTGACAAGTCCGTTGCGTATTGGATAAACATACAGAGCTGTGTGCGTTTTTTTACGGGACAAACCCCGTGTTCGTGATAAACGGTTCTATATCTAATATATGCGCCACTGTTTATTCGATAAGATATACATAGGGCGCACTATAAGTTTCCGGAACTGGCCACTTACATAAGCAATATTTAAAAAGCAATTACAACATCTGAAAATGGAACTCTTTGGCTGTAGAATCTGTAGAATACAGTTTGTTTCATCTGACTGTCACTTGTTTTTAAATTGTGGCGTCTTTATGCATAGGCATGAGTCAAATACAATCAATACTACACAAACATTTGGGTGTGAAAAAGCCGTGTTCTCGGTGGATGGACTGAGGCTCAAAAAACGGATCGCGTCAGGTGACGAAACATGGATTTATAGTTACGATCCCAAAAAAAAGCAGCAATCGAACGTATGGGTCTTTGGAGATGAGCCGAAACCAACCAAAGTGGCGCGCGTGCAAAGTAGATGATTGCTTCTTTTTTATTAAAACTGGACACGTGGCTACTGTTACTTTGGAGAATCGTTGTACCGTGAACAGTGATTGGTATGCAACCATTTGTTTGCCGGAAGTTATTGACAAACTCCGTAAAAATAACCGTAAACGCCGTATCATCTTGCACCACGATAATACCAGTTCTCACACGGCCAGACTAACAAATTAATTTTTGAAGGTGAACAACGTTGACCCTATGAGCCATCGCGTGTGCAGTCCCGACCTGGCACCTTGTGACTTTTATTTATTTTCAGCAATTAAGAACCAGTTACGCGGTCGACATATTTTCATCGCCTGAAGAGGCTGTCGAAGAGTATGAAAAATATGTTTCAGAGATTGTCACAGAGAAGTGGCATAAATGTTTTCAAAATTGGTTCATTCGTATGAAAAAGTGAATTAACGCTAACGGAGAATATTTTGAGAAACAATAAATTCATTTCTGACCATTTATAGTATTTTTAACCGATTTTAAAAACGAAGGAGGTTCTCAATTTGACTGTATGTTTTTTTTCTTTTTTTTTGTATGTATGTTACGCGATAACTCCGGTATTTGTGAACCGATTTTCATGATTCTTTTTTTGTTCGAAAGGGGGTACTTCCCATTTCATTTTGACAATCATCCACCTCGAAGGGTGGCTGTTCACGTATGAAGATTCATTTTTATAAAAAGCGCCTAACTTTATTTTAGGAGCAATTACTTTAATGGTTGATTTTGCTATTTCTCCAATTCAAGGCGTTTTTCTCTCAATATACTTTGTGTAGTATCGTAGTGAGAACCTATTTTTATATTCTCCAGTGTCACGTCCTGTATAGTGGAGAAGTAGGGAATATTTCAATAAAACTTAACAAATAGACGTAATTCCACGTACTTTTGAGGTCGGTTTTTTAGTACTCTGTACTGAGATTATTTTCTTATTCATTCCGGAAACTTATAGTGCGCCCCAAGTATATCTAATGTATGCGCCACTATCTATTCGGTAAGGTATATACCGAAAAAAACGTGCGGTACAATGCCGTGAGTGTGGGGCATTCTTCTCAGGGGAATCTGCCTTACGAATGAGCGGTAGAGTTATATGTCATAATATAGTTTAATATTGTAGCAGTAGAGCTCCTTGTGTAAGAGTTCGTCCAGGGAAGTACTGCCACTTTACCTATTGCTACCGCCAAGCAGTAATGTGCGCATTACTGCGTTCCGGTTTTGAAGGGTAAGGGTGCTGGTGAAATTACAAGCACATGAGACTTATCAACTTATGTCTCAGGGTGACGGCGCAGTGGCAGTGTCTCTTAAATCTTGGTGTTTTAAAGCTCTGAGTGCCATGCAACTGTTATGGACAGGCGTGTCGCTTAATATCAGACGCACTACTTGTTCGTCACGTCACGTCACGTCATGAATGAAATATGCACTAAAATGTAGGTTAAAGGCGTACTTGTTAAGGCAATTATTATATTTTATTTAGTAAGCACAGTTAATATTATGTAATGTTATAAAATACAAAGTAAAGTAGATATAATTAAGTGGGAGTGCACATGTCGCCAAAAAACTGCAAGGTAGTTTGGCGACTTAGTAAATAAGTTACCTGCTGTATTTTTCTTAAAATAAAAAAAAAATATTTTCATTTGTTTTCTGATTTTGCTTCTCCTCCGGGGAAGTCAAAGTCAAAGTCAAAGATTATTTTTTCCATAGGTAAAATAAATTTACACTTGAAAACGTCACATTTAAGCTACTGCTGGTTCACTACGCTGACCTCCCTGAGCAGAACGAGCAAGCAACTCTAGGGATTGCTCTTTTCCAATAAACTTAAATGCTATGGAATACACTTTAAATCAAATTTGTATGGATTCTGGAGCCGTGTCGTCTTTCCATACATCTTATTTTATTATCTTAGTTTATGTAACACGTAGTCCTTAATTTTGTAATATGATTTTTCGATCAAAATATTATTAGGAAATGATAAACTTAATATATGCCCATAAAAGTGTTGTTTACCTTGGTTAAACGAAAACGTGCTACCATGAGTTTGAACTTAACTCTGTTAATATTATGGATATCTTCTTTCTTATTGAAATTATGTATATTTTTACGGCCATGTAAAATATTTGAGTAAATGTACTGTGATGCCACAGTCATGATACCAGTCTCCTTAAACTTTTCTCTGAGAGAAACCCGAGAGCCTAGACGGTACACATAGCGAATCGCTCGTTTTTGCAATACAAATATGGTTTGAATATCTGCCGTTTTACCTCACACGAGAATCCCGTAGGACATTAAACTATGGAAGTAACTAAAGTCTAGAAGTACTAACATCGGTAAGCTCACGTATT